AGACCACAAGGTTCGTTGGTCAGCAGAGGCCATCCATTTTGAACCTAATAATAAGGTACGCGTAAGTGAAATAGCAGTAGAACTACGGAGTAAAAGTGGTCATCTGGTGTCGAGATTCCTGTTGATCATGAAGCACAGAAGCCTGAGGCCTCATGGGTACGATGTTATGGTCATATAAATTAGGTGGCCTTGTGGGCAGCAGCGAAGCGGGTAATCTGGATACCAGAATCACCCGAGCCGACAGTAAAAGAGAGATGGAATAAGATCAGAGTAGGTATATGTCGACTAATGGATGAGTTTGGGCTGCTACGCTCCAGGCGAGAAAGTATGGTGGTAATCCAAGCTAGATAGGGCTCCAAAAGTACGCATATACTGGGCAAACTGTAAAACATATGACATACATCAGACTTGGTGCCAGTACAAGAAAACCCGCTTGGAGGCACAAGCCCTACAACGAGAGGGGAAGAATATTTACATAAGCATTTGGCGCAGTACATTAAGCATTATCCCAAAGGATTGTATGCCTACGTGCAAGCCAAGAGAAAAATAAAAGAAAGTGTAGACTCCTTGAAGATGAGTGGAGGTAGCATAGCTACATCAAACCAAGGCAAAGGAAACATCCTGGTGGTCTTACACAACAATAAACGGAAAACCGGTGTAAAATGATGCTCTGTATTTCCTTGTATCACTTTTCGATACACCACTAATGAATGAAATAGTAATAAGCGAGATTGATGTAGCCAGAGAGCTGGCATCTTTTAATTGATATGAGGTTGCAGGGCTGGATGGAATACGTCCTGCCACAATTCAGCCATTAGCAGTTTTGGTACATCCGGTAACCAGCTTATTTGAGCAAGTTCTAAGGCCGAGAGTATTACCGGGGGAATGACGAAGAACAACGGTTGCACTATATAAGTCGGGATCTAGACATAACGTAAGCAATTAGCGACCATTTAGTCTCATTTCTGTTTTGTGCAACTGCTTGGAGTGGGCCGTTGAGGGGGGNGGGGGGGGAGGGGGGCAAATGTGTAACCATCTAACCACTCCAAATTTTCTGGTACCAACTCAGCATGGGTTTACCGAGAGAAAATCGTGCCTGTTTAACCTGCTAACCTTTTTGGATGAGGTTACTAAAAGGCTGGATGAAGATCAGCAGGTAGAAGCCTACTGCCTTAGCTTTTTCAAGTCCTTCAATTCAGTCAGCCATATGCTCCTAGACCGTAAACTACAGGATATAGAAATACGGGGTGGAGAAAGAAATTGGGTCTTGTAGTTTTTCAGTCATCGCATGTTCTATGTTAAGGTTGGCGATTTTCTGAGCGAACCTGCGAAGGTAACCAGCAAGGTACCTTAAGGATCAGTACTAGTGTTATAATCCCACAAAGAGGTGCTCGGTCGAGGATAGTAGTTTATTGCATATAACCGTTAGGATATCACTAATTTAGCATATGTACAACAGAAATCTCATGATTGCAGTTCCACAACCATCCGCACTTTTTGTATATTACTCAAATGTGAGTGTTAACTCAAAACACTAGGACCATTATTATTTCTAGTTTATATCAACGACTTGACACGGGATCCCCAAACTCCCTGTTTCATGAGCACAGATATGAAAGTAGCCGGAGTAAGCCTACTGCACGGCGTAGAAATGGTTAGACAATGGTCGATCAAGTAGGACTTGCCACTAAGCCTCAAGATTTGACACTGCCCAGGACAAACAGCTACCCTTGCAGAACGCAGAGGTAATAAAGGACTTCGGAGTTATTCTCACCAAAGCTTCAAACCTGAAACACAATGCCTGAAGGCATTCAGGGATCTAACTCTTTTCGCAAGAACGCGATAGAGAGGAGACCTGGTCGGAACTAAAATAGTAAGAAGGCTATCAGGATTCCATTTATCTACGGCTTATGGGTCATGACTTTAAGTATCAGCAGAACCACACTAGTTTGGAGATCCGGCCCAACTTTTTCTCGCAAAGGTTCATAACTATGTGGCACAGGTTACCCACAGTAGTGGTCAATTGTACCAATGTGCACAACTTCAGGGTGGCACTGGATGCATGTTTATCGGAAACGTTCCTCTATATTCGGTGGCGGAGTGTATCTTCATTGAAAACCAGGTAACCTGTAAGTCCAAACTATGGGATTGGGTTTTTCAAATGACGTCCAAATGGGACTATATGCACCCGAAACCGGAACGCCCCCGAAAATTAAGGTCCCTCGCCGATGAGGTGAGGGGATATCCTTTCTGTTTCCTCTGTAGCTTGGGGTAGCAAACCTCATAAAGCGCATACAAGATAGGCATGGTGCTGACATGGTTCTCATGACCATGGGGTTTACTCTGTCTGCTGTTCATCACACTAAAGTGTGTAATGAGGAAAGTGTTTTAACGCCTAGGTCACCTTGATGGTTCACTGAGTGGATTATCAAGACTAGGTTACAATTACCGATATCAGACTCACCGTGATTTCGGGGATCAATTTTATTTTAGTTTTATTGAGTCTCAGAAAAGTGAATGATTGAGGTTTGCATAAATAAGATCATTATCAAACGAAACATCTGCTACTGTTTTTTTGTGAACTATAGCCTAGGAGAACAAGTTGCTTCGCAACTTCATTTCATTGATTTCTCCAATTAAGTACTTTGCATTACATCGCGTTCTTTTGTCCCTATCATACATCTGTTTTTATAATTTTGTACACTGCTCATAGGTTGGGAATTGGAATCCGTGCTAACTTGATTCCGGTCTAACAACTGTACTTCACAGCGTTAATGCTGGAACATTCTTTATGAAATTGAGGAAAACCAGATCATGACGTTGTTGCATGCGGGTTATTCTCTGACCGATTGATGTGAATTTACTTCTGAGTTCGATAGGAAAAATTCGTGCGGAATCTTTACATCTATCATTCATTTGATTATATTGTGGGATTAAGAAAGACGAACATATCCTAATCTGGTTTCATCTAATTTGAATTTCCAATTTCGCACGAATGGAGACAATGCCTTCTCGTTCAGATCGTATCGATTTGACTGGATCGACCGATCTCCGTTCGGCCGGTTCGGAATCAACTGTAGCAGCTGCTTGGCACCGCTTTCCTCATTCTCTGGTATGGACACCGATACCCATACTAACGTGAGTGTTTCTTGTTTTATTGTATTACTGTCCATCTTACGCATTTTTCGTCATATTACAGTTGGCTTTTGCCATTCATTGGTCATATGGGTATTACTAACTCGGCAGGTGTGATCTTCGACTTCGCAGCACCTTATACAGTCAACGTAAGTTCTTGTTTCTGGTGTTCTTCACACCTCCGTAATCCATTTTCAGGAGGATTGCATGGCTTTTGGGTGGCCTACAATGTATGTGTAATGTGAAACAATGCGAACGTATTCTTACCTCTCATCTTGCAGGTATTACCAGCTAGATCTATCCCAAATTGAAAACCGCGATCTGTGGGACAGGGCTGTTTACGAGGCCAATGAGATATATAAAATGCGTGTAGTGAGTCGATCTTGTTTTGTTTCATTTAGTTCGCTTCATTTGAGCTGGTTATCCTTTGTTTGGAGAACACAGAATAGCAATCTCGTTTTCGGGGTTTCGCAGTGGACTCTATGTGGCGCCGCCTATACTTAGTCAAAGCGTGAGGCGAATGGGGTCAAAAGTTGTTGCGAGAAACAAGAGGTGTATTAGTACTGAGGTAATTCGTGTGGAAAGCGTTGCTGCGTCATCAGCGCTACATGTGATGATGTCTTGAATGTTTTGCTTGATTTTCATTTCGAGTGTGAAGTAAAGTGATCGCTTGTGCGTGATATTGTACGGATGGTTAGGGTAGAACCCATTGTTTCGCAGCGCAAACTGCCATCGTATCTGCAATCTATAGGATTGGATACTTTATCTCTTGTCTTAGTCTCATGCTAATGGTGTAAACCATTTAAAGATTAATTTTGCAAACAATCATATTCAACTAGAAAATTATATCATGCAACCAGTTCCCTTTAACATTTTCTTGAGAGCAAGAAGAAGCATCATCATCATAGGATGTATTGAATTCAACTATTTCGTGGTAATCTCATCAGCTGTGTACATACATTTGGATCACATTTGGTTAAAAGAGTGACAGA